GTACCTGAGGTACTGGCAGGTTCTCCACTATCAAACAAGAGATTGAATGAAGACATTCCAAAAATTTCTCAATAGCAACCTCTGAATAAAAAAGAGCTACATAATCTTCAGTGAACTAGAATACCCCTTCCCTCCCAACCCAGGCAATTACCAAGTTCATTTAAATCAATATTAGCATGTCTATATCTAATCTTTCAAAATGACACCCATCTTATTGGTAAGAACGGCTTTTCTTGATCAGGTGCTTTCACTTATTAAGCCTCAGCTGAGAAACAGATTTCTGATCTCAGCCTGCAGCTTTTTACCTTGATTTCCACAAACGGAGGGTAGATGGTAGGCTGGATCCGTGTGAACTCGGATTCCCTGGATGCCTCCCTTTGCTCGATCATTTCCCATGAGCGGTCAAACAGAAGGTTCACCAGCTTGTTGATCATTCGATAAGGCTGAGGCAGAGAATCTAGTTCCTGATCCACATCCCAGAAGCCATAATCTGCTTCATCATCCTTACGCCAGTCATCCTCTGAGGGAGAGGGCACCTCCAGTCGGCCTCTTTTTGTATAAATGTTTCGCTGCTTCTTCTGGGTCTGACTTCCCTTAAGAGATGACATCACAAAAAGCAGTGCTGGCGATTTCTGTGAGACTCTAGAAAATCTGACAAAGGAAATAAGCAACACGTTGAGAAGAGAGGGAAGCCACTGGGAGTCAGCACACTTACCCAGCACAACAGCACAGGGGAACGATTTATTCTAGAGATGGGCACAACATGCTAGGAGGGTGGGGTCTTCATATTAGTGATGATGTCAGCAGATGGGTGTTGATTATTCAAATGCCAGCCCAAGATGACATGGGCTATAATGGAAGGAGAGAAATGCTGTATCCCTGTTGTCTCCCTTCACCTCCTATGAGGAGAGCAGTTGTCATTCTGTCCCAAATAGTTCACCCTCCAACCTACAACTTGGGTTTCTCCATCTCTGCAAAGGCTATGCTCAAGTCAGCTGGGCAGCTGGCCAGGTCTCTCTGGCTCTCCAGCCCCACTCTGATGTCCATTCAGACACTTCTGAGCTTGTTGATTAACTTGCTTTCTTCTCCACTCCCGTTACTGCCATCCAGGAGTTCTGGAGGAACAGTACCTGTGGGATCCAGCCCCACATCCAGATGAGTCCTAAGGGGCAATTGTGTAATTGAGGGGTAATTTAAAGAGACATAAGACAAGGTATGCAAGGGTTCACTTCTTCCAATGGAGACTGGAACCAGAATAAGGGAGTGCTGTGTTTTCTCACAGCCTTATATAATCTCGGGCATGCAAGTCACAATAAGCACATATGTAACAAGAAGGGATTGTATTCGAGTAAGGTGACCAGACATCCCACTTTTGGCGGGACAGTCCCGATTTTTAACAATTTGTCCCGCGTCCTGCGGCATTTTAAAAAAGTCCCGATTTTTTGAAAGAATGCACAACAAGCTAGGGTATACGGTTTTCGGCTGCCATGTGGCTATTTTGCCAGGATATGAGTTTTATCAATGGTGTCCCGCTTTACCAATGTTAAAATCTGGTCACCGTATATTAGAGGGATACAGGTAACATGAGGGAGACTAGCTAGGGGTATACAAGCAATAGGAATGTAAGGCACTAGAGGTATACATGTGACAGGAAGGTACATATGTAACAAGACGGGCAGAATCTAGAGTTAAGAAGGCAGCCTAACCTTGGTTGTCTGAGCTGGCTTGGCCTTCATGTCTTAGCTCTTCTCCAGGAGAATAATCTATGATCCTTATCAGAAGGGAGCAGGCCCTCCTTAGGGTGGGGCAGACAATAGGGTCTGATTGCTTTTGATGACAAACAACCTCCAGGCAAGTAGCCTTCAAGCCTTTGACCTTCAAGTGTATATAGTAGCACCTTAAAAATGACATTACTATCGGGCAACATCATGGGAATAACTTTTACTTAGGATGTGACTGAAATGCGTCTCCAACCCATGAATGTGAAGTTCTCCCTCCACAGGAGCCCCGGCCTCCCAGACTCCTATCATATGAACAAAGAGAATTTGTCTGTATACACTCTTTTCCTTTCTGTTTCCCACAAGTTCTCAGGGTCTATGAGATTTTTCAAAGGCTTATAGAAATGTTGGAGACATTAAAGGGAAAAAAAAGTTACTTTCTTGAAAAAACAGAACCCCAAGATCAAAATAATTATTTACATATTTATCATTTTTAGCCTCTACTCTGTGTATAAAGTTCAAGTCTAAGAGAATAGAATTAATTATCTGTACTTTAGCAAACTCCAATTATACACATTATAAAAAGGTATTCAACATGTGACAACTGAAAAAAAAATACTGTGGAAGATGAACACATTTTAAGATGCTTAGTATGCAGTGGGGCGGAGTCTTGCAATACCTGAAGGCATGGCCCATGGCAGCTTTGTAAAGTTCATGCCGCCATACTCTCTTCTCCTCTGGATGATCGCACAAGCCCACACCTAGCTTCCTGATGCCCCCCCCCCCCAGGCCCACACTGGAGTCAGAGTCACTTTTCAGAGCCTGTCCCTCTTTACCAGCCACCCATGGCTAGGCTAGAGTCCACATCTGAGAGGGGATCTGCTTCCTAGCCCCTGCTGCCTCTCAGCCTCACCTCTTCACGACTTCCATCTCCTACCTCAGCCATAATGTACCCCCACCACGATCCCCAGTCATTCTTCCAGCTTCTTCCCTTCCCTCCTTCCCTTTCAATCTACTCTGAATCCAGGGGCAGAGTGCTTTGATCAGTAAATCATTTGCCTCCTTGAGCTGAAGAGGGTATCGTACATACAAAGATGGAATGTTAATCAGCAAAACAGAGTAGCTTTCTGGACCTTCATTAGCTGATGTGGCACAACTCAAAACTCACAGAAACAGCTGCAAATATCCATTCATAATTGGAAGGTATGTTAGTCCGAGGTAGACTACAGAAACAAATTCATGGACACACATATGTGTATAAGAGAGAGTTTTATATAAAGGGTAATTGTACATTAAGAAAGCATCCCAACCTAGTCCAGTCCAAGCCCATAAATCCGATATGAGGCCATATGTCTGATACCACTCTTTAAAGTCCTCTTCTGACTCCCGAAACACATGCAATGATGCCGAATGCAGGAAGATCGCAGGCCAGTGGGATGGAAGTCTTCTGGGTCCAGTGGTGTTGTAAGCATGTCAGCGCTGGCAGGGATCTCCACGTTGCTTCTCCAGCACCCAGGGATACATCAGGGTAGGTCCAAGTGGCTTCTCCAGCTCAGACCATGAGCATAGTTCCAAGTGTCTTGTCAGCTGCAATGTTTCCCGGGTGTGAGTAGAGTGAGAGTGTCTCCTGACTCCAAGGAGGAAAAACAAGAGTTCCCAGATTTCTCAGAAGGCCATGCCTACACAGAGACCTCATTGGCTATGATCTGATTGACAGACTAGACTCCACCCCTTCACTCTTAATCCTCTCAAGTCCCAAATTAACACTAGAGTATATAACTACCACAGAAGGAATGTATGAAATATGAATTTTTAAAAATTGAAAATAGTAAAAATACACAAAGATTGATAGCCTAGGCGTTAGTGACCTGAAATGGACTGTTATTGGCCATTTCTAATTGGATAGTCAAATGGTCTACTAAACCAGGAATGACAAATTCAAGAGCAATGGTATCACATTAATAATCAAAAAGAACATTTCAAGATCTATTCTGAAGTACAAGAAGCAGATGACTGCTGCCTCAAGGGTAGTCATCGCAAGGGTGCTCAATGAATGTTGGCCTGGAACTAAATGTATAACTAAAATAGTATATTTACTCTTTTAATGCCCTCATTGCTTCATTCTGACACATATTAATCTAGTAGGCATACATCTGCTGTTATGAATGAATACTATTCAAGATTTTGCCCTATCAACAACCCCCCAATTGTATATGTAAAAAGTATCCAGTCACTTAAGAATTTAAACTGTATAAGCCAACAATTCATGTATTGTGGTTCATAGTTAGCCTATACTTGTATAGTTTCCTTTCCTTAACAGTGTTTTAAATTCTATACCATTGGCTAAACTAATGATACTATTATTGAATGTATAGTGGTTAAGTATTGGACTGCTAACAGCAAGATGAGCAGTTCAAAATCACCAGCCAACTCCTTAGGAGAAAGATGAGGCTTTCTACTCCTGTAAAGATTTATAGTTTTGGAAACCCATGGGGCAGTTTTTCCTTGTCCTACCAGTGGTTCTCAACCTTCCTAATGCC